GGGAAGGGAAGGGAAGGGAAGGGAAGGGAAGGGAAGGGAAGGGAAGGGAAGGGAAGGGAGGCTCGGCGCTCACTGAGTATTTCCTCTTGCTCAGGCAGAAGGCGAATTTCTTCCTGGCCTGCCTGTGGTAGGAGCGGTCGTTGGCCCTCACCTCCCAGGTGGCAGCTGCAGAGGCAAGGGGACATCACCGGTGGCAGCCAGGCCGGCCTGGCAGGGCACAGGGACCCGTGGTGGCCTCGGCTGGGGTGGCTTCCCTGGGGCACGGGGACCTCGAGGGCTGCGGGCACAGCTGGGTCTGAGGGGCAGTGACAGGGACAGTGACAGGGACAGTGACAGGGAGAGCAGGACATCCCAGGGCTGCAGGAGCGCTGCCCACGCCTCCCCCGAGTGTCAGGGTCACCCTTTGGGCTCAGCCCGGTGCAGGGTGAGCCCCAGTCTCTGGGGTTCTGGTCAGGTCATTCCTCTCCCTCTCCCAGCTCCGTTTTTGCCATCCCAGCGCAGACCCTCCAAGCAGGGAACATCCCAGCCCTGTTCCCGGCACCTGCCCCAGCTGACGGTCCCTGCTCACCCCAAATCTTCTCTTCCCCATTTCACACCCGTGTGCCACGTCCAACTTGCCCATAAACCAAGTGAAAGCAGGAAAATCCCCAAAGCACGCCCTCGTCACACTGACCTGGCTGCTGCTCCCCGCGTGGGCAGCCTGTGGCTGGGTCCTGCTCAGCCATGCTGCCACCGCTGCCAGGACCTGGGGACAAGGACAACCCCAGCCTGTGAAACACAGAGCAGCACCATCCCCTGGGATTCTCCAGCTCCCCAAGGCTCCAGGGCAGGACACCCTGTGCGAGGGACATTCTCCCACCAGCCTTCTCCCATCCCAGCTGCCTGTGACAGCTCCGAGACATTTTTGCCCTCTGGGGAAGCTGCAGGAGATCCCTGAAGTCACCGGTGAGGAGTTGGAGCTCTCCCTGTCCTGCCACCCCACCCCAGCTCCCATCCTGCTGGGGGAGCAGCCACCTCCAGCAATGACAAGATTTCCCTCACGCTTGGTGGCCCCGAGACCTTCCTGCAGGGATGATAGGAAAGATTAATTACGTTTGTGAAGCACTTTGTGATCCTCACGTGAAAGGAGGCAGTGAGGGATAAAGCATTAATTACCTTATTATTAAATAATCCCAGCACAAGTCAGCCCCTGCCATTGTTTCTTCTCTCACTCCTTTGATCATTTTTTCCATTTTTTTTACCCAAAGTACCAACTTCCCTCTTGCTCCTGTGGGTATTGGTTTGTCCCAACACCTCACAGATGCCACTGGCTGGGCATCCATGCTCATTCCAGGTCAAAGAGACCCAAACACCAACAGCACCTCGGCCTCTGCGGCCAAGAGCCTGCCCAGGAGAAGCTCTGATCCACAAAATCCTTCTTCACCAGCCAGGACTTGGTGCTGTCCCTGTCCTGGGAGTGTAAATGACACCCCCGAGCTCAGCACACACAGCCCCAGAATGGTTTGGGTTGGGAGGGACCTCAAAGGGACCCAGTGCCACCCCTGCCGTGGCAGGGACACCTCCCACTGTCCCAGGCTGCTCCCAGCCCTGCCCAGCCTGGCCTTGGGCACTGCCAGGGATCCAGGGGCAGCCACAGCTGCTCTGGGCACATCTGGACCCCAAATGTTGCTTTCTTTGATTTCACAGCACGGCTGAGGAGGGAGGAAGGGTTTCAGGGAGCTGCTGGGGTGGTGGGACACTCCCAAAAGTTTGTCCCACAGGTAAGGGGGAGCAGGAGGAGCAGGGGGATTCCTGGAGGGATGAGATCTCTCCCGCACAGGAATCCCTCAGAAGCTCCTCAGTGCCAAATCTGACACAGAGCAATGCCAAAATCCCCCTCCTCCCTCCTGTGCCCCACTCTGTCCTTGTCCCCAGCTGGGGACACCCTTCCCTGCACAGACAGGGCTGGATCTGATTGCAGGGGGACAAAGGCAGGACAAAAATCCCCTCACAGCTCTCCATGGACCTCCTCAACAAGACAATTCCACAGAAACAACGGCAGCAGCACTCGCCAAGAGGCCGCATTTAAAGCATGGAAAATTTGGGCGTATAACAAAATATTGCCCAGGGTCTGAGGAAAATGTGACAGCACTGAATTGTTGCCCAAGGTGCAGAAAAAGGAGACACTTGGCAAATCAGTGCCATTCCAAATATGACAGAGATGGAAATCTTTTACTGTGAAAAGTGTTTCACAACAAGTGAAACCACCATGTAACGATACAAGTGTTAGTGATGATTCAAGTACCCAAAATGTCTCTGAAAACAGAACATTTGGGGAACTTTAATCAGATCCTATCTGCACTGGCTCCCCAGTGATTCAGAGTTTTGGGGATTGCTGGTAGTGAGCTTGCAACCTCTGTTGTTTCTGTTTTCTGTAGGTAATACCCATAAATAGTGATTGTTGTTAATATTACATGAATGTTTACAAAATTCTGTCTTAACCGTTCAAACTCTTGCTGCTAATATATTGATTGTGTCGTGTGAATCACTGATTTTTGTGATAAAAATTATTTATAAGGTATTGTTATAGAGTTTACAGCTGGCTTTCATGTGTTTTACTATCTCTTTGTGCACAAAGGGACAAAGGAGGGACACCAAAGCCCCTGCTCCTGGCAAGAACCTTGCCCTCTCTCCTCCTTCCAGAGGGGTGGGCTCCCCTGGGATTGGGATGTGGGGATCTCCTCCAAGACCATAAATAGGGATACAGGCCCAGTGGAGGCAGCTGCTCCACAGGGACAATCCTGCAGGAGACAGGATGGACCTCAGGGCATCAGGGTGGAGAACACTGAGTCACCTGCTCACAAACCCTGATCCCATCCCTGCCAGTGTCCCAGGCCAGGCTGGACAGGGCTTGGAGCAGCCTGGGACAGTGGAAAGTGTCCCTGGAATGGCAGGGGTGGGATGGGATGGGATGGGATGGGATGGGATGGGATGGGATGGGATGGGATGGGATGGGATGGGATGGGATTGGATGGGATGGGATGGGATGGGATGGGATTTAAGGTCCAACCCAACCCATTCTAAGGTCCCAGCCAGGGGTGGCAGCTGGGACAAGCCCTGAGCCTCAGCCCAGCTCCTGATGGAGAGGTCCAGACTCAGGCTGGGAAGTCGAGCCAGGACTGCAAAGGGATGAAGGCTGAGGTGGGACACGGCCCATCCACTGGGACAGGACAGCTCCAGCCCAGCGTGTGGCCAGGCTGGAGCCAGACCCACCCTGGGGGCTTGGTCTGGAGCTGAGCCCTGGCTGAGCTTCCTGAGCCCAGGGGGATGGGTGGGGGTCCCAGGGGGCTGCTCAGGCCCAGTGACCCTGGTTGTGCCCTGGGGGGGCTCTGATCAGTGGCTCAAAGCATCCCCTGCCCTCACTCCAGGACACGATATTTAGGGTGAGGCTGACAGTGAGACATGCCGAGGTGTTTTCCTGGGCTCTGCTTGCAGACCTGAGCTCCACACTGGAATTCCTGGTGTTGTGTGTGGTTATCCTGGTCCCCTCGTGCTCAGGATCAGGCCTGAAGCTGCTGATCCATCACATCCCCACCATGACCATGCTGACCCTTGATGCCCCACCCACAAAGGGGCATCTCTGAGCCCCTCTGTGCCCGGTCAGGATCACCAGGACGCCCAACCGGGCTGCACTCAGCAGCTCCACAGCCTCCCCGGTCCCAAACGGTGCCAAAGAAAAGCACAGCTTGTTTGGCACCTGCAGCTGGCACGGGCAGGACACTCCATGGGGCTGAGTGCCCTGCAAAGGCAGCCGGGAGCGCTGCCTCCTGCCAGGGCCTGGAGCAGAGGGAAAGGGGAAAAAAGGTGAATCAAAGCACTGGAAAAATATTTTCAAGGAGGTATCCAAGAAATTTCGGTTCCAAGAAAGCTCTTGACAAAGGTCACTCATCAGCTCAGTAATTAGAGGTAAAAATTGCACTTTGGGGAGGCGGGAACAGGCTGGAATTGGTGTCAGGGCTCCCTGCCAGCCCCAGCCACACGGGTGGACAGCCTGGGCAGCCAAACCCTGCTCTGGCCCCGGCCCGGGGCTCCCCGGGGGCCAGGGAGGGCTGGTGATGGCCAAAGGCACGGGACATCCTGCCACCACTGCCCCGCGCCTCAGCGAGCCCAGCTGGGACTTCCATCCCACGGGATGTTCCCCCAGATCAACAGCTGGGATGGACCCGCCGTTCTGCCCGGCCCCGCAGGGACTGTCCCATCCCGGAGGGACTGTCCCATCCCACAGAACTGTCCCGTCCCTCGGAGACTGTCCCATCCCTCAGGTGCCATCCCGCAGGTCCCATTCCACAGGGACGGTCCCAATGCCAGAGGGACTGTCCCATCCCGCAGGTCCCATTCCTCAGGTCTGTCCCATCCCGCAGGTTCCATCCCGCAGGTCCCATCCCGCAGGTCCCATCTCGGAGTGTCTGTCCCATCCCTCAGGACGGTCCCATCCCGGAGGGCTCCAGCTGTGAGCATCCCCGCGGTGCTGCCGGGCGCTAAGACGCCCCAAAGCGGAGCTTCCTCACCCCGCAAGTGCCGCTCTGGGCTGGTGGAGGTTGGCACGGCTGAGCAGAAGTCGGGTTGAAGGAGGGCCGGGCACGGCGCCACCAAGGTTTGGCGCAGGCTGGTGAAAGCCGCGGAGATTTATGTCCCCGCCTGCTCCGAGCGCTGCCACGGGAATTCTGTGGAGGTTTTGTTCCTGAAATCACCGGCTCAGCGCCGGGCTCCCGCTCCGTGCAGAGCTCTGGGAGCGCCGGGCAGTGCCCGCAGCTCCCGGTGCCCTCTGTGCCCTCCCGCTCCTTCCCACGCCAAAACCGGCGGGGACGGCACCAGCCTGGCTTCGGTCCCCTCCCGGGCTGGCACACGGTCCCGGGGGTGCTGCTGCTGTTTTCCTGACCCCGTGCCCCGGTGGGACCCCAGCCAGCCCCGCGGCCCGGCCGGCTCCTGTCCCGCACGGCGACAGGCGACAGCGGCCGGGAGGGACGGGCGGCTGTCCCCCTGTCCCCTCCCGTGCCCGGCACGCCGGAAACGCCCCCGCGCTCCCCGGATCGTTAGAGCCTCTCCGGGGTTGTTTGCCCGGCTCCCGGGACGTGCCCGAGCCGCCAGTTTCGCTCCGCTCGCTGCTTTCCAGCCGCTTGGATGCGCTCCGGGATCGCTCCGCCATCCCCAAACGCTGCTCCGTGCCCGGGCGGCCCCGGCACCGGCACCCCGCTCCTCCCGGGACCCCACGGCCGCGGCTGTCACCGTGCCCGCTGCCCCCGCGGTCCCCGTACCTGCCCCGGTGCCCGGGCACGGCCCCGGGCAGCGCCGCGCTCCTGCCAGCTCCGCCGGCAGCCGGGACTGCTGCCACCGTCCTGCCCCACGCGGGACCGTGGGCACAGCCCATGCCACACCTCCCGGGACCTGCCCGCCTCCGTCCCGCCCGCCCTGCCCGACCCGAGCCGCTGCCGCGGGGCCTGCCCGGGCCTGACCCGGGCACGGTGTCGCTGCCGCCGTCCCGGGGACAGGCCGGTGGGCACGGGGCAGGGTCGGGCAGCCCCCGGCTGCGCTGGGGGCACTGGGGAGCGCCGGGCCCCGAGCGCCCCCGGCTGTGGCAGCAGCTCGGGGGGCTCGGGCCGTGCCCTGGGCACCGAGGGGAAGGGGACAGCGAGGAAGAGGAGGCCGAAGGCACATCAGCCACTCGTAGTACTTCTCCCAAGGCTTGACCGAATGGGTTTGGGGATTCGGAAACCCCTGTGGTAACCTAGCCCACCGCAGCTGTCGCTTTCTCCCTGAATCGGGGTCCTCCCGTTCAAAGGGAAATATATCCCGACTTTCTCCTGCCAGTGGACCTGCCCAAAAAGCACATTTTAGGTCCCTCACACTAAACCACTGGTGTGCTGGGGGGATGTTACTCAGCAGTGCACAGGGGTTAGGCACTACTGGGTACTGATTCACTGATCTTCGGTTTACTTCTCTTGAATCTTAGACAAGCCTGGAAGTCCCATCTGACTTCTTTACTGCTAATTTGGGTGTATTATGGGGGGCATTCATGGTTCTAAGGTCCCCTCCTCGAGTAGGTCCTGGCTCACCGGCTGCAGTCCTCGTCTCCCCTCCAGGGAAAGAGGGTATTGTTGAACTGGATGGCTCTCATCAACTCTTTTTATTACTATGTTCAATTTACCTCGATTTTTCAGTTTTGCCCACACCATCTCATGAATTTTGTCCTCATTCTCTTCCCTTAACTGGAGAAGCTTAACCACCATTCTTCCTTCCTCTAGGAGTACTCCAATGTCAAACTGCACCTGTAATCCCTCCCTAATAGATGGCACCCTGCTTCTGGAAATAACAGAACATCCCCAATTCCTACTTTATTTGCCCCTTCAAACTTTACTTCCTTCATAACTGAGACTTTGAACCCCTCTCCTTTTGCACCTACTACTTGCATGGAATCTTGTCCCTTTTTCCACCCTTTGGGATTCTGCCACTCCGGGCAGTGCCCGCACCGGGACTGCCAGCGCAGCTGGGGACAGAGGGCACCTCGTTAGTGACGGCAGCTAATGAGGCCAGAGCCTGGTGTCCGCCCCCACACATCCTGCACACCCGCAGTGGTCCTGCCATTGCCGTCATTTCGTTAATTACTGCCTGCAATTAGCCGCAGGGACCCAGAGGCGATCACCCAGCGCCAGCCCCGCAGCCCGTAAAGCATTTACAGCACAGCCAGGAGCTCCCTGAGCGCTGCCTGCTCTGTCCCTGTGTCCCCGTGTCCCCATTGGTGTCCCCATGTCCCCATTGGTGTCCCCGTGTCCCCATTGGTGTCCCCACACATGTCCCCTTGTCCACATGTACAGCCTTGTACACGAACTTTACATCCAAAGTAACAGTCCTAAACCGAACAGCAACCTCCTGAACTTTTAACTGAAAATTCCAGTAAAAACTTACAAGTCCCAACTCCAAACCAAAAAAACTGTTATACAAAACCTTGCATCGTTACTAAACACACTCCCTTAAAACAAAATAACAGCACCTTACAAAGAGTTACCACACAACAAAATAACAACCCCCAACACGAGCATGCACAGCGCCACAAACACCATTTTGTAACTATCAAAACTACCAACATCCCACTACAGCAGCACCTCCAACCACTTCTGTTGCTACAAAGAAAGAGAAAGACAAAATATTCTACACAGAAACACAAACAAAAACCCCCAAATCTAGAGAAAACAACTCATACATGTCCCCATATGTGTCCTGATGGGCCTGTGTCCCCATCCATGCCCTCACATCCCCCTGTTCCCACACATATCCCCATGTCCCCGTGTCCCTGTGTCCCTCTACATGTCCTGATATCTCCACATGTGTCCCCACATCCCCACACATGTCCCAATGTCCCCACATGTGTCCCTGTGTCCCCACACATGTCCCAATGCCCCCAGATGTGTACCCGTGTCCCCACACATGTCCCAATGTCCCGACGTCCCTAGATTGAATCCCAATTCATCCCCATCCCATCCCGACAGTGGGCAGGGGCACCTTCCACTAATCTGGCTCCTTCCTTCCTTCCTTCCTTCCTTCCTTCCTTCCTTCCTTCCTTCCTTCCTTCCTTCCTTCCTTCCTTCCAACACCATTTTGTAACTATCAAAAATACCAACCTCCTACTACACCACCACCTCTAACCACTTCTATTATTACAAAGAAGAAGGAAGACAAAAAATTCTACACAGAAACACAAACAACAACAAAAAAAACCAAATCTACAGAAAACAACTCATACATGTCCCCATATGAGTCCTTCCTGGAGTCCTTCCTTCCTCCCCATCACCGCCTGGCGCTCCCGCCGCGATCCTGCGCTTTGGAGGAAGGAATATCCCCATCCCGCTTTGGAGAAGGAAGGAATTTCCCCATCCCGCTTTGGAGAAGGAAGGAATATCCCATCCCTCTTTGGAGGAGGAAGGAATTTCCCATCCCGCTTTGGGGGAAGGAAGGAATTTCCCATCCCGCTTTGGGGGAAGGAAGGAATTTCCCATCCCGCTTTGGGGGAAGGAAGGAATTTCCCCATCCCGCTTTGGAGGAAGGAAAGAATTTCCCATCCCGCACTTTGGGGGAAGGAAGGAATTTCCCCATCCCTCTTTGGAGAAGGAAGGAATTTCCCATCCCGCTTTGGAGAAGGAAGGAATTTCCCATCCCGCTTTGGGGGAAGGAAGGAATTTCCCCATCCCGCTTTGGGGGAAGGAAGGAATTTCCCCATCCCGCTTTGGAGAAGGAAGGAATTTCCCATCCCGCTCCCGTGTCCCCGCGGGCGGGGTGGCTCTAGGTGCCCGGAACGGGAACAGCCGAGGTCACCCTGGCAACCGAGGCCAGTGAAGATGACATTTTCCCAATCAATCGCCCTCTGCAATTAGCTGACCCCCCCTCCCGTCCAGTGTAATTAAGCGAGCGCCGGGAGGCCGGGGCAGAGGGAGTCCCTGGGGCGCCGCGGTGGCTGTCCCGGTGTGTCCCGGCACCGAGGGCTTTGTCCCGGTGTGTCCCCTCTCCAGGAGTTCCCCCTGGCAGCCCCTGCGCTCCCAGGGAAGGGTTCAACCTCTGAGCCAGGTTTTTCCTTCTCCTCGAGCAGCCGAGCAGCTCCAAAGCCCCGTTTGTGAGGAAATTAATAAAATAAAAATAAAAATAAAAATAAAAATAAAAATAAAAATAAAAATAAAAATAAAAATAAAAATAAAAA